TTTCTAGTGTACGGTGCCGTGTGTAGTGACCAGCCGGGTCGTTACACTCGTGGTGTGTTAATTTTGCATCTGGAACGGCCTGTTTCAGATGCAAAATTAACACACCAAGAGTGCATCCAGAACGGGCCGTTCTGGCTCCAGGTGTTTTTAAAAAAATTGGCATCCACCTATGCATCTACGTGGCCAACAATTAACACTATTAAAGAAATTTGGACGGAAGTTCCACATTCAAACCAATTAATTTATTAGGGACTAAATTGAAATAAATAATTATTATAAGGGATCAAAATAGGTATTTAGCCTAAAATATATTATCTAGTTTCACAAATAATGGTGAGTCATCATATAATTGCTGTGATTAACATCTCTATCTCCTCTCCCATGCTGGATTTTATTAATGGGAGAAAATTCAAACTCATAAACATGAGTTTTTTTCGTCTAAAATTGGAGCAGATTTGGGCAAGTAGCCACGAGGACGGGTTAGGTGCTGCTCCCGCGCGGCCTCAGTTGGAATGGCGTGTCTCCAAGTCCCAACAAGCGCTTTCCAAACGTATTTGGTAGGCATCATGATAATAGAATGAGTTCCGAAGGCGAAGATGCACTTACCACTGCGATTGCGAGCCACTTCCGGTGTGAACCCATGGACCCCACGCGCTCACCTCATCCACTCCCAATGGTTTCCCCTCCTCCGCCACGCCATCGCCGCCTCCGACTTGCCCCTCGGGAAGCGCGCCCACGCCTGCATTCTAACCTCCGGCCTCAACGTCGACGACCGCTTCCTTACCAACAACCTCATCACCATGTACGCCAAATGCGGCTCCCTCTCCTCCGCCCGCAAACTGTTCGACACAACGCCCCACTCCTCCAGAGACCTCGTCACCTGGAACGCCATCCTCGCCGCCTACGCCAACGCCCACAATACCCACGCCGGCTTCCACCTCTTCCGCCTCCTCCGCCACTCCGCCGTCTCCGCCACTCGCCACACCCTCGCCCCCGTCTTCAAAATGTGCCTCCTCTCCGCTTCCCCCTCCGCCTCCCAGTCCCTCCACGGCTACGCCGTCAAGATAGGCTTAGAATGGGACCTCTTCGTCGCCGGTGCCCTCGTCAACATATACGCCAAGTTCGGACGCATCAGAGACGCACGCGTTTTGTTCGACGGAATGGCCGTCAGGGACGTTGTTCTCTGGAACGTCATGATCAAGGCCTACGTCGACACGTGTCTCCAAGATCAAGCGCTGGTTCTCTTCTCTCAGTTTCACCGAACCGGACTGCGTCCCGATCACGTCACTGTCCTCACTCTCACCCGCGTTGCCAAAAGTAAAACTCTTTTCCAACGCCACTTGAACCAGCTTCGTGCTTATGCCACTAAATTGTTTCCTTCTGATGATGATTCCGATGTCATTACGTGGAACAAGACACTGTCTCAGTGTCTTCAGAGAGGTGAAGCTTGGGAAGCTGTTGATTGTTTTGCAGATATGATCAAGTCACGGGTTGCGTGTGACAGCGTGACGTTCGTTGTAATGTTGTCTGTGGTCGCTAGTTTGAACTATCTTGAACTGGGGAAACAGATTCATGGTGTCCTTGTGAGGTCGGGGTTCGATGGAAATGTCCATGTTGGTAATAGCCTTATCAATATGTATGTCAAGGCTGGTTCCGTTTCTCATGCGAGAAAGGTGTTTCGTCAAATGGATGAAGTGGATTTGATATCGTGGAACACCGTGATATCTGGTTGTGCATTGAGTGGTTTGGAGGAGTGTTCTGCTGGGTTGTTTGTTGATTTATTACGCAGTGGCCTCTTGCCGGATCAGTTCACCATTGCCAGCGTTTTGAGGGCTTGTTCTTCTCTTGAAGATGGTTACTATCTTGCCAAGCAGATTCATGCTTGTGCAATAAAAGCTGGTGTTGTCTTAGATTCGTTTGTTTCAACGGCACTGATTGATGTCTATTCCAAGAGTGGGAACATGGGGGAGGCAGAATTTCTTTTTGTTAACCAAGATGGATTTGATTTGGCATCTTGGAATGCTATGATGCATGGGTATATAGTGAGTGGTGATTTTCCTAAGGCATTGAGGCTTTACATTCTAATGCATGAAAGTGGGGAGAGAGCGGATCAGATTACTCTGGCGAATGCAGCTAAGGCTGCTGCGGGCTTGGTGGGGCTTCAGCAAGGGAAGCAAATTCACACTGTTGTTGTGAAAAGGGGGTTTAATTTAGATTTGTTTGTCATTAGTGGAGTTCTTGACATGTATCTAAAATGTGGTGAGATGGAAAGTGCTAGCAGAGTTTTTAGTGAGATACTCTCACCAGATGATGTTGCCTGGACTACTATGATATCAGGATGTGTGGAGAATGGGCAAGAAGAGCACGCTCTTTTCACATACCATCGGATGAGACATTCTAGGGTGCAGCCAGATGAGTATACTTTTGCTACCCTTATCAAGGGTTGCTCTCTTTTAACAGCATTGGAACAAGGGAGACAGATTCATGCAAATATTGTAAAGCTAAACTGTGCTTTTGATCCTTTTGTGATGACCTCACTTGTTGACATGTATGCCAAGTGTGGGAACATAGAAGATGCGCGTGGTTTGTTTAAAAGAATGAACACGGGGAGGATCGCCTCGTGGAATGCCATGATAGTAGGATTAGCTCAACACGGAAATGCTGAGGAGGCGCTCCACTTTTTCAAAGATATGAAATCTAGGGGTGTAATGCCAGATAGAGTTACTTTTATAGGGGTTCTTTCTGCATGCAGTCATTCTGGTTTGATATCCGAAGCCTATGAGAATCTATATTCCATGCAGAAAAACTATGGAATTGAACCTGAGATTGAGCACTATTCTTGTCTTGTTGATGCCCTGAGCCGTGCGGGGCGGATACAAGAAGCTGAAAAGGTGATATCATCAATGCCTTTCGAAGCTTCTGCTTCAATGTATAGAACACTGCTTAATGCTTGTAGGGTTCTGGTAGACAAGGAGGCGGGAAAGCGTGTAGCAGAAAAGCTTTTGGCTTTGGAGCCATCTGATTCATCCGCTTATGTTCTTTTATCTAATGTTTATGCGGCTGCTAACCAATGGGAAAATGTGGCGAGTGCTAGAAATATGATGAGAAAGGTAAATGTGAAGAAGGATCCAGGGTTTAGTTGGGTAGATTTGAGGAACAAGGTGCATTTGTTTGTAGCTGGGGATAGATCACACGAAGAATCTGATGTGATATATAATAAGGTGGAGTATGTTATGAAGAGGATTAGAGAAGAAGGATATGTTCCTGATACGGACTTTGCACTTGTTGATGTAGAAGAAGAAGATAAAGAGAGTGCTTTATATTGTCATAGTGAGAAGCTAGCAATAGCTTATGGGCTCATAAAAACTCCACCATTCACTACGTTAAGGGTAATTAAAAACCTCAGAGTGTGTGGAGATTGCCATAATGCAATCAAATATATATCAAAGGTGTTTAAGCGAGAGATTGTTTTGAGAGATGCAAATCGATTTCATCATTTCAGGAATGGGATTTGCTCTTGTGGTGATTACTGGTGAGGTGAGAATTGAATCTTTCCCTTAGTAGTACCCCATTATTATAAGTGGGTTTATGGAGAGCCATCAGCTAACCTTCCTTTTTGTTGGCTCCTCTTGTCTTCGTCGACTAGCTAGTTAGAGTTACTTGACAAAAGATTCACAAAGGATTTTAGTTATGAAATAAGTTATTAGACCTGATTGGTCAACCTTCAAAAGGGGTCTTGCAAATAATTGGTATAAAAACTAGTTCAACATCGACTTGCACCAATCCAAACATCTTTGCTGAAAATAATTTGATTTTATTTTAGTAAAATTATTATTTTTTTATAGTTAATTATTATTTTTATAGTAATTTTATCCTAATATTACGATAATAGATTATTATACAAAATTATATTTATTTAGATTTTAATTGTAGTTAATGGATATTATTGTTTATTGTTATTAAGTATGAGATAGGAATTGACCTCATGCTCTCATGATAGATTTTTGTTAGTATTAATATAATATTTTATCAGTGAAAGATATGTCCCATGAACGCAGATTAACCTTTAATCGTTAACTTTGAAATATGGCTTAAATATGTTTAAACTATTTTGAATTAGGTCAATTTTCAGATTATTATTTTTTAAATATTTTTTGTTTAAATTACTTGATTAATATTTTTTTTTCAAATTAGTATCTGACGTTAGTTTTCTATGTTAAATGATGATGTGGCAAACGGACTGTTACGTCATCGCCCAATGTTGTATGCCATGTTAGCACACAATGACCACCTCATTTTTCACGTAAATTGCCACGTCAAATTTGTAAATTTTTTAAAAATTTAGTTTCGCGTATATGTTAAAAATTTACGAACTCAGAAACCTATTCTCTCATTCATCTTCAACCTCATGTTTGAAAATTGTTCCTTTTTGATTTTGAAAATATTAAAGTTGTAATTCGTTTTGATTTTCGTTTTCATTCTCCTTTTTCGTGAAGTTGTTCCGTTGTTGTGTTCCTTCAATTTGGAAACGCGCATTGTACGTGGTTATTTGTTCCTTAGGTTAGAAGTTTGAAGCACTGTTCTTCGATGACCATTTGTGGAGGTGAGATCTTGTAGTCATAAATAGAGGTAGTTGTTGTCATTGTTGAAGCACTGCCAAAGTTGTTCTGGACAAAGCCCCTTGCCATTCTCCGTCTGCGTTGAAGGTAAGTGGTTGGTTATGTTATTAGGGTTTACAATTTGATAGCCTTTAACTGTTCTGTTGCTAAGGTTTTTTTGACTCAAAGATTTGGTTTCTTTACAATTATGTTAATGGGTTTCAATTTGAAACTTTATCACGGGGGTCGTTTTGAGTTAGACCCCGTGATGCATTATGTTGGAGGCAGCGAGCCAGTGCATGTGAAGAATATGGATATGGATAGGGGGTCCTATTTTGAAGTCGTGGGAATTGTAAAAGAAAATTTGGCATATGGAGAACATTCTGTTAGACTGTGGTGGAAATTTGGTCCTTCTGATTTCAAAGAGATTAATTGTGATAGTGTTGCATTAGACATGTCAAACTTTGCAATTACTAACAATGTGGAAGTGGAAATGTTTGTAGTTTGTGATGCCCAATGAAGGTGTTGTTGGGGGACAATTTCTGTAACAGTGATGATGACTCTATGAGGGATGTTCGGTTGGATGATTTAGAGGAGGAGAGGGCTGCTGGATTAGATGATGAATTTGATATTGAAGTTCCTCAATTTATTCGAGTCAAACGTACTCGGACCCCTCTTTCAGTTTCTTAACCCATGAGAGAGTTCTTCTTCTTTTAGGGATTTTTCAATTTATTCTCAAACCCCTCTTTCAGTTTCTTATTAAGTCTCAAACGTGGAGAATGAGGTGGCCATTGTGTGCTGACATGGCATACAACGTTGGGCAATGATGTGACAGTCCATTTGCCACGTCATCATTTAACAGAGGAAATTAACGTCAGGTACTAATTTGAAAAAAAAAATATTAGTCAAGTAATTTAAAAAAAAAATAAAAGTAGTAATATGAAAATCGACCTAATTCAATATAGTTTAAATATATTTAAACCTTGAAATATTGTATGGACTATGTTATAAAGTATATATCTAGAAAAATGTTATGACATAGTACTACTTTTGAATTTTGATTAAAAAAAATGTGCTAATTAAGGAAATAATCTAGCATCATTTAATAAGTATTTAGGGGTTGTCTTGATTTGGATTTAGGTTAAATTTCAATTTGAACTAATCATATCTAATTGAGTTGATTTTGTTTAGGTTTTGGTTTAATTGAGTTTTTTTTTGTTGATTTTGTTTAGGTTTTGGTTTAATTGAGTTTTTTTTTTTAGTTCAGACACGAGTATATTTTTTTTGTTGATAAAAATAAAGATTTAATGGATTTTACTAATAATATGTTGTGCAACACAATTTGAGATGCAGCTATAGTTATATAGACCAACGTAGGATTTGATTGCCTTAACCAATTTATGGGCAATTGAATTTGTTTGTATATAAGTAAAATTGATCTTTCAATTTGTTAAACTATCAAGTAATAACCAATATTTATAGATAATGGTTCCATACTCAGGTACTACTTTATGGTGTTTATTAACCCTAAAAATCACATGCTTACAATCTAACTTAAAAGCAATTGCTAGATTAAGACTTTTGACTTGATATGACAATCTAACCCGTCTCGTGGATACTCGCTCGAACCCATCCCGATTTGGATGGAGAAAACTCGTGTTTATCGGGTTCGAGTTTGGGTTCAGATTTTTTTCGATTGATAAAATTGGGGAGAGAATAAATGAGCATTTTATTTTATAGGAAATAAAGTAGAACAAAGTGGAATTTGTAATTGTTTAATACGGTGAAATTAAGTGAGAAATAGAAAGAAATTGATATTTTATATAGATAGGTTTTTATGTAAAATATATACAATTACAATTTTACCTCTCTCATTATATTAAAGTGGTATTATATTTTTTTATGTAAATATAGTGGCATAATTAAGCATAACCAATCATGTTGCACATTTTGTTTCTATTCATAATGTATTACATTGATAACATATTCTAATATAGTCACTCATGATACCTTAATCTAGTTATGTTCTACTTGCATATTTCATTACTTTGATAACATATTTAAAAATAACGACTATTGCTACGATGTTATATTTTTTATTCTATTCAATTAATTTTAATTTCATGAAAATTCCCTCTTTGAAGAAGATATTTTTGCAACTCATGAGACCCATATAAAATTTTCCTCAATTTTTCATAAATTACTTCTATCAAGCATAGATATTTTGATCAAATCTCTTCTAATGCACCTCTTCCCTCAAATTTGTCTTAAATCATGTTTAAGCAAAGTGAGTTATGATGATAATATATATATATTCAATCTTTTTATCTTCAATTATTATCAATTTATATAAATTTTAATTTTATATTAGTGCAAGGTAGAAATATTATTGATCTTTAATGGTTAAATAGTTATTGTACTTAATATTCAATTATTTATTTTTTATTTATCACTTTTTATATCCCATTGATTTTTTTCACAAAATTTAATATAAAATTATACAATAAACATGATCTAAAGTTAATACAGTATAAGATCACAAGAATATCAAAATAAGAGGAAAAAATTGAAGTACAAAAATTAAAAAAAAATGCATTTATCTAAATTTAAAAATAATCGAATGAATTTTGTTTAAGAAAGTCATTCGAACTGAATTAAAAGTTATATTGAATTTGGATTAGATATATATTTTATTGGCACAAAACTGATTTAATCCGAATGGCGAGTACTCCTGCTACAAACCTTCTCAATCAGGACAATTATTTTAAAATATGGAGAGAAAACATAATTGTTTTTGATGTTATGTCTTATAAAGGAAGATGCTTAAAGTTCATTTTCTAAATATTGTAGTAATAACAATGAATAATATACTAGTAATATTTATTTTCAATTAATTTTAATTTATTAATTTTAATATATATATATACTTATATATATATATATATACACAATATTTTAAAATATATTATTTGTCTATTCAAGTTAACGTATATTATAATTTTCATTAATGTATCAAATGATATATATTTATTATTACTAAATAAATAAAATTTATATATTATTATTTTTATAATATTATTGATAAATTGTGCGATTTTAGTCTCTCTCATTAAAATTTTAATAATTTTAATATATATATATATATACAACGTTTCAAAATTATACAATTATTTGTCTATTCCAATTAATGCATATTATAATTTTCTTCAATGTATCAAATGATATATATTTATCTTTAATAAATAAATAAAATTTATATATTATTATTTTTATAATATTACTGATAAATTAATATCAATAATATTATTAGTGTATTTATAGATAAACTAATAATTTGATAAATATAATTTATTATATATTAATATACTTTTACAAAAATATAAGTATATTAATTAGAAATATACATATATTTTCTTATATATTTATATTTTTGTAAAAATATATTAATATATACTAAGTCATATTTATCAAATTATTAGTTTATTTATAAATATACTAAAAATATTATTGTTATTAA